CAATTAAAGGGACAAGATATTACATCCTTAAACCATAAAGAACTCATGGTAATAGAAGAAGCCCTAGAAAATGGCCTCATCAGCATCCGTGATCGACAGGCTAGTACAGTTAGATATATATTATAATCTTAGAGCTCGTTTGGCAGAACTTTTGAAAAGACAAGAATTACTTCTGAAACTAAGGAATTACTTTTGAATATGTTTAAATAATTTTCTAAATGTCCTTTATTTTATTAGAAGAGCTTTTGGAAGAAGCTTTTCTACATGAAAAAGAAGCAAATTTAAAAGTTCTGACAACAACCTCTTAATCAAGTTACCTATTATAATAATTTGTCCCATGAACCATTCAAGTTTTTGATCATCAATTTACACTATTGTTGTGACAGATGGAGCATGTCAAGATGCTTAGGAAAAATGTATGTGTAATTTTCTCTCTAATTAATGTGTGATTTCTTATTAAAAACAAGTAAATAATAAAACGTTTCCTTAATGGTTCAGGAGAAAATGCTGGAGGAGGAGAACAATCAGCTTCAATATGAGCTGGTATGTTTGTCAATAAATTCTATATGTATATGATAGAGTGAGTGCAAATCCTAACTAGTGTTAACGAATTGGCGCCGACTCAACTTTTCCCATAATTTCTCACAACATTGAGTACATAGTTCAAATCCACCTGCATTATAGAGCTTAAAGAGAGAAACGTATGTAAAAAATGTTGAAAAGTGGGATTATCGTACTTCAAATCCTTTCAAATAATTGAGAAATAACGTAAATTGACACACCCCGCCCCGTGTAACACCACTAGATCCGGACGTGGCATGCATCGATGATAGATACCAACTAAAAGTCGGATCCTCCATCAAGGTTATTTCAAATACAATATATCACTTTTTATACATCATTTTTCTAATAAAATACAATATATTAATTCCCTTTGCTGATATGACATGTCCCAAAAATACAACTTTATCAAACCAAAATTCACATTTACTGAATTTAGCATACAACTGCTTATCACGTAGAGTCTGCAAAATGATTCTGAGATGCTCTGTGTGTTCATTATGATATCGAGAGTACACTAAAATATCATCAATGAATACAATCACAAATCTGTCTAAATACAAGCGAAACACTCTATTCATCATATCTATAAATGCTGTTGGTGTGTTGATAAACCCAAATGGCATCACACGAAATTCAAAATGACTATATCTTGTCCTAAAAGCAGTTTTTGGCACATTACTGTCCCTGATTTTAAGTTGATGATATCCAGAACGCAAATCAATCTTTGAAAATACTGCAGCACTGCGAAGCTGATCAAACAGATCATTAATACGTGGCAAAGGATATTTATTACAAATCGTCACTTTGTTCAATTGTCTGTAATCTATACACAGTCGCGTGGTGCCATATTTCTTTTTCACAAATAAAACTGGTGCTCCCCACGGAGATACACTATGTCTAATGAAACCCTTGTCTACCAACTCTTGCAACTGAATCTTTGGCTCTTTCAATTCTGCTGGTGTCATTCTATATGGTGCTCGTGAAATATGTGCAGTTCCTGGAATTAGATTTATAGTGAATTCCATATCCCTGTTTAACGGTAAGCCTAGTAATTCTTCTGGAAATACATCAGGAAAGTCCTCGACCACTGGGATATCTTCAAGTTTTAGTTTGTTAACACCTGTATCAATCACATGAGCTAAATATGCATGGCAGCCCTTGTTGAGTAATCTTGTAGCGTCCATAGCAGATATCACACAAGACGGTAAAATTCTACGCCATCCATTGAATATAATTTCAGGCTGTCCTGGCTATCTAAACACAACTTCCTTTCGAAAACAATCAATTGAAGCTTGATTTGTTGCCAAAAAGTCCATACCCAAGATAACATCAAAATCATATATGTCAAGAGGTATTAAATTTGCCTTGATCTCGTTGTTCTTTACCTTAATCCCACAATCTCGATATATATTATTTGCTAATAGTGATTCTCATATGGTGTATTCATTACCAAACAACTACCTAGATGTTCTGACTTTTGATTCGCATATAAAGCAAATGCAAATGACATAAAGAAATGTGTAGATCCAGGATCAATCAAAATACAAGCATTTCTATCAAAAATAGACAACATACCCATGATAACATCTGGTGACTCTTCCACCGCCTACTGAGTAATAGCAAAAACTTTGCCCTGAGTCTTCGGTCATCCTGCCTGCCCTTTTGATTTTGTACCAGTACTGCTTGCGATATTAGATAGGGCTACACTGTTTGTACCTGCTCTGTTAGCTGAATCATCTCTCTGAGTCTGATTCTGTCTTGTACTACAAGCACTCTGCTGAGGAAATATCTTCTGTGCCATGCCACCCCCTTGGAATACAATTGGAAATTCCTTTTCAGATGTCCTTCTTGGACACAGCGATAGCAAACACCAATTCCCTTGAACTTTAAACACTCTCCAGGATGAAATCTTCCACATAATTGGCAAGAAGAAAATCTGGCACTAGTAGAACTCTCTCCCTGTCTCGGAGTAAATGATCTCTGGAAAGAACCCTGAGAATAAATACGACTCGCCAATGGCTGTTGTACAGTATTGGGACTGAATCTAGGACCCTAACTTCCTCGAAATCGAGATTTGAATTGACCTGAACTGGACATACCAGTTCGAAATCCTCTATTGTCCCTCCATGGTGGTCTATAACTAGAAGCACTTACTATTGTCTGACTACTGCTTGCTCTGAATATTGTTTGTTTTCTACCACTTGGCCTATCAGAAATGCTCTTTTCTACTCTCAAAACTAATTCCATCAATCTGCCAAATACATTCTAGCCTGCAGCTGTTACTACAGATCGGATTTCTTCCCTTAACCCATTTTCGAATCATCTACATTTATCAATTTCGTTGCTTACCAGAACTTGGGCATACTTTGAAAGTTCAATAAATTTCACCTGATATTCTACAACTATCATCTGCTCTTGTACTAGTTTTAAAAATTTCTCATGCCTTGCATCTTTATAGGACTGAGGATAATAGGTATCGTAAAAGATACGACGAAAATCTGTCCAAATAATGATGGAAGGGTCTAGATATGTGCTCCGTACCGACTGTCACCAATCATACGCACCCTCCTCTAATAAGAAGGTGGTAAGATACAACTTCCGATTGTCTGAGCAACCCATAACGTCAAATACCCTCTCTATCTTGGACATCCATGCATGTGCAACTGCAGGATCGGCTGTGCCTGTGAACACTTTAGTCCCTAACTTTGTAGCCCTCTCAATACTGAAATCTTTGTCAGTATTACGCATAGCAGATGCAACGGCAATAATAATTCTTTCAACAGCAATAGGATTAGTTCCAATCACATTTCCCTGTCCCCATTGTTCAGGAGGTTGGTGAACTGATTTTTCTACCCTCTTGAACTCTCTAGGTTCATCTCCATCAGGAGCAATGTGAGACTAGGGCAATATATCTTGAAGCCTTCGATTTTTGCCATCACGAGGCATGACTCACCTACAGTTATGCATGATATGCTAAACATCAGAATGTATGCATGTACAATGCAAACCTATAAACTCTAATGCATGCTCTGATACCAAACTGACACACCCCGTCCCGTGTAACACCACTAGATCCGGACGCAACATGCGCCGATGATAGATACCAACTAAAAGTCGGACCCACCATCAAGGCTACTACAAATACAATATATCACTTTTATACATCATTTTTCTAACAGAATTTCGACATTATCTCCCCTGAAACAGGACTAACTAACCTGTGATCAATTTCACACAAATCCCAAACTATAGCACAGTACAATAAAGATAAGCCGAAATCTCAACATTTACCAAGAAATAAAATGAAATATACATATGGATACAAAATACATAGTGAGTCCCATAACTATCTATAAGTAATGGAAAATCACATCTAGATATGAACATGCGTTCCAAAACACTGACTACATGTTCTATGAAGTGAGTCATACAAACTAACTCTGTTGTGTGACTCTGACTCCAAAATTAAGGCTCAACTCCAAAAGATGCCAGATTCTCAACTGCTGTCTGATAAGAAAAAACGTAGAAAAATATATGGGTTGATAGCTCATTGAGTGGAGAAGTTCAAAATAACTATACTTTTTCATTTATATATTTTTATTGAAAATTAAATTTATATCATTTGATAATTCACAAGCTACCATCATGTAATTTTAGCCAAAAAGTGAAATATTCACATAAGGTCATAAAATATCATTTTAAAATCATGATATAACATCAGTTGATAACCATGCTATAATCTCATCACATCAAATGTGCTGAAAAATCCATAAAAAATGTACCCTCTGACTGAAATATGTAATCCGCCTCTCGGGCTATGAACTTTCGCCAAAAGCCCCCTCCGTGAACGAAAGTCGGTCTCAAAAACCTCTCATAATCAATTCTAAAACACGGCCAAGGCCCCTCTGTGAATTATATGTACACGATCAAGATCAATGTCAGGTCAAGACCCTCCGTGTAGGATAGTACACGACCAGGATACCTCTGTGAACTAGAAGAAGTATATAATCATGGGTACTTTTCTTTTCTTTTTTTTCTTTTTTTCTCTCTCTCTTATTCTTTCTCTCTGGTCCGTTTTCTTTGTGTGTGTGTTGTGTGTGTGTTTACAAATTGGTTTTGGATTTGTATAAGTTTTCCACCGCCTACCACTTTTGCTTTATCTTTTGTCCCTTTTTTTGTGTTTGACTTTTTTTTTTTTTTTTAACTTAATGTATTACATAAATAATCCGTCGATCAATTTTTATTTTTATTTTTTTCAGTAAGTATTTATTCTCTCTTTGGATACATTACAGCAACAAAGGATGGCAGCAGTGGATGGCAATGTGAGAGAGATTAATGATTTGTACATTCCAATGCCTTTTGCCGTTCGTGTGCAGCCTATTCAACCTGATCTCCATGAAAGAATTTAGGAAATTAATTCATAATAATAATAATAAAATCCTTGTAGTAACAAGATTGTTACTTTCTGCTACCTCTTTTTATAGATGGTATGAATTATCATAGTATTGCTGGTTGTTCGATATAATAATTGATTTGTTTGACTTGTATTACAAATCGAGCTATGCTTGCTCAACTTGATTGAGATCTCTACTATCTTAATTTGACTAGAAAACGGACCATACTACACGAACATAGTTATTGACACTTTGGACGACTGAACACACACCTTAGGGGTTGGACATTATTTAATTCACGTAGGGCCCATGCACTTTGTGAGGGTCGATCGACCATGTGGACAATTTTCTTCTGACAACATGGCTTTATTCCTAGAAAACAAGAAGAGTTGGAATTTAAAATAAGTTATGTAAAGAGTAAAAATATCTTCGAAAATATCCCAAATTCACGAGGATGTACAGAAGAGATGCACCTACCTACCTTTAAATTGAACAATAAATTGTGATTGTCATGTTACGAAGAACCAATTAATAACAACATCACATCAACCAATAAATGTGATGATATTTTTTTTCCTAGTACGTATTTTTATTTTGTTATAAGTTAGGTTGTTACATGACGATACTTTTATGGTCGGTTCCACATTTATTACAAAAGAGAAGACTGCGTCTGGTATTATTTCCAAGAATGCAACAAACATTGAGTTGAGTTTTCATTTTCAGTCAGTTAAAGCTTATAATTTTATTGCAATAATG